TTACAATTATCAACCGCCTTATTTGTGATGGGTTTTCTGAGAGATCACCAGATAGCATAAATTACTCATTGTTTTAATGGCATATTCCTACTGTCGCATGTCTAAATAGAAGGGACGGAATTTTCATTTTTCTCAAAGTCCAACAAAACGTTATAGTTTTCCTACCACATCGTCATTGTTCGCTGTTCTAATCCAACAGAAAAGTGACTTTCCATCTTAGTGAAGTGAGATAAGTGTGAGAGCAGTTATGGGCTTACAGTTATGATTGATTATCAAATGTCGAAAAATTGCTGAATTAGCCAGACTGATCAATAAAAACGGTGTGTTCGTTAATGTGCATCCACAACGTCATCGAAACTGACAGAGTTCCATCATTACACAGAATCCACTTTTGCACAACCCAGTATGATGAAGATAAGAACTAACTAGGTATATTTTTATAATAAAGACTTTTTGCGTATTTTTTGGAAATAATATCTCCTGAGCGCTTCAAAATTGAAACTTTCAGTTTACCTTTGAGTGGTGTTGAAATAACCTTATTATTACTATAAAACTGAACTCCGAGCTAAAGAAGTTTGTACCGGAAAAACGATGACTAGCACCATCTTTTGTTGTTACTTGGATATCTACACCTTCTCTTTCTTCTCTATGTTCACCTGAAGTCATTTCATGACCTACTCTTCTGCAAACTTACTGATTTTCGCCTGTAGATATTTGATTTTGTGCTAGAATTGTCATAAATCATCCATCCATGAAGGCTATCCGAATGCAGTACACACATATGAGGAAGTGTAGGTATCTGAAAAGAGTCACGCTGCACTTTTTCCTACATGGACAATCACCCATTTTACTTCAGAAAAGTTAAATTGTTACGAAATTTCGCATAACTTTAGTCTCATGAACTCGCTTGTTTTGTTCAGCTTCCCTTCTCTTCATGAAACGCACTTTGTTGTTATTGTGTCTTTGGACAGAACAGTAGGGATTCATTCTGACAGTGAGACATTTTAATCCGACAATTAATACATTTATTATTACTATTATTATTTCTGTCTGCTTTATCACATTATTATAGGGGAACACAACGAGCAAAAGTGAACTAATAAACGGTAGAAAATCTCTAAATAACGCAAACAATGATAGTGAAAAGTTTCTTCCTCTGTAAGTCTCCCTGCAACAGGGATATCGAATCACACGCTAAGGTCATTGAATGCGTGTGACGTGGACATTGTTCAAATAGTGTTAGATAAATCATTGAAGAGACATGAAGGTTTATAATAATAATAATCACAACGCTGATAGTAGATAGAGTTTTGAATTAACGACAGGTTTGAAAAACGTTTGCTACAAATCAGTGAACGCCAAAAATATCACAATTGCTGAATTATTATTCACTTCACTATAAGTAAGTATTAAGCATCTGAAGTGCAATAATTTGAATTAGTCATGCATATTAGACAGTTAGAGGCAGTCGGCAGGAAGCCTCACACCTAGGTTTCGTCCCACTAGACACTCGTCAGCAAGGCGTATCTGCAATCTTGACTGATAGAATTCAGTCTGCTCCAAATAAAGGACTAGACACACCACACTAATTACTAACCAGTTTCCAATCAAAATTAGTCATTCATATTTTATCTTTTCCTCAGGAAAGAGAATTCATAGTGCACAGTGTTACTCAGACTGTTATGCAAAGCTATAACAGTGAGCTACAATTTTAAAGTAACACAATAATGATGAAGATAAAATTTCTCAAGATGTCGGGTGAGATCTCATGCACCGAATTAGATACTCACTGAACATCAAGTAGTTGGTCAGCAGCTGTTTCATTGGTGAGAGGAGAAACACAACCCAGTTTCACATCAGATTTTAATTAACGTGTTTTTGTTTGATAAAGCACACACAGATGCGATGACAAGCTACTAAGTAATATTTCCAACATAATTCATTTATAATCCAACTAAGGCAACGTGATAATCAGAAGAATAAAATGAATTTGAAACGTCAACTTGTGAATGTTATTCTCAGAACTGAGCATATACCGCAAAACGCCAAAGCTACAGACAGAAGTTCAGTATGAAGATATGCAGCAATCGTCACAAGAAACAAGGCCCGAATTCTTAACACTACCATCAAGTCAGTGTTCCTAAATGCTTCAGACGGTTGTCGAGCACATCATCAATAGCATTTCCAGCTGGTTCTAAACTTTCCCCAACAGATGCCTTCTATCAAACCTGAGGATAAGACGTTTGGTTGGAAAGAATAAGTAACGAAGAACTCTAGCAACGCGACAAGTCAACCGAACATCTAGTACCGAGACAATAAGTAAGCAGAAGGAAGTGTGTTGTCACTTAATGTCACACATCTGACAAGTCGTCGATTGGAAAGTGAATGGTAAGAGACGTGTCGGGCGTGGGTCCGAGAGTGACACGGGGCAGATCATATGTTGATGGAATGAAAATATGTCAGCAGGCTTGCAGCCAGGTAGAAGTGATGAGTAGTGTAACCATCTGAATAGATGTAATTCTGTCATTTTGTCAACTATCAGTAATGTATTTTAAGACAGAAGTGATGTTGTATGATTTTATCTTATTTTATTAACAAGACGATAAAATTCACATGTAACCTTCAATGTGTGAATCAGTTTTTGATTAGTTCAGTTAGATTGATGAATTGCCTGAAGTCCGTTGGGTTGTAGGTGTTTCTCAGTGAATTACAGGTTTATCCCACTCTCAGACCGGTGCACCGCTTTCACTTACTCTCTCTCTCTCTTTAACTCTCTGACATCGTCTCGTCTTCCTGCGCTTCAAAAAAGCAAACATAAAAGAGTGAAGTGGACATATAACATATATATACCACAATGGAAAATTGTAGGTCTGAAGAATAAAATATCCAAACGAAGTTCACTAAGGGTATTCGAAATCTGCTGTATAAAGCAATGGAGAGACTTCAAAAAGTGATAGCTTCTAGTACATTCTTACGAGCCCTGATTAGATCTGAATTTACTGAATGGGATTTATCAGCTAACGAATAATAAATACCCGGTTGAAAACCAGATGATAAAAGTAAGAAATACTATTAAAGTGAACATTTAAGAAAAATCAATTACAGTCAGAGTTATCACAGATTTCAAGATTATTTCATCCTTAGGAAATTCCAAGGAGTTTCATCCTTTTCAAGTTGACTTTGGTAACGTTGTTTAGAATGAAAGGGTGAAATTAGCCATTTAAACGCCGAGCACGAAACGAGTTGAAAATATCTAGGCAAAACTAAATTTAATACCAACCACAGCCGACTCAATTTTCACTCTGATAATGCCAACGATATTGCAGAGATCGCAAACACAAACCTGTTCACTACACGTCATACAACCACGTTATTTAGATTTTGAGTTCTGTAGGAATTTTCGTTAATTTCAGTGTAGATTTAGTCATTCACTGACATGAGGTAACGACTCATCGAAAACAAAGCAGCCAAGGACAGCCGCTTCGTTCAAGTTACGTACTCTTCAACCCTGCATACCCATAACTCACCTCAGAGGCCAAACCCAGAGCCTTCAACTTACCAGACCTGCCAATTGACCACTCAGCCAATGGGTTGAGATCTACCGTTCATATACCTACGTATATATATACTTTGTGAAACTTGCCACATATATTTTAATGAAGCATTTAAATGTTTCGTTTATACAGCAAACAGATTCGTGCAAAAACGTTCTTGAACTCGGTGAATGTGAATCATGGTGGGCTAACTGGTCACCTTGCTCCAAGTGTTCAGCGACCTGTGGATTTACTGAAAGACGTCGATTTCGCCCTTGTGTTGAAGCATTCATTCGTAAAACCCGTAGGCAAGAAGTACAAGAATCACTTTAGAAATCGTGTGCACTAATAAAAGAGCACGTGAAGGTGTCAAAGCAGCCCATGTCCGATGAGTCGTATGTGTCCAATCGTTATAGGTAGTTCAGGTGAATGGGCTAAACTCAGTCCATATTCAATCGCTTGTGATGTAGTCAAACGAACACGTCATCGTCAGTGTGATCGACCAAGGCCACAAGGTGGAGGTTTCTACTGTCAGGGTACTGACTATCAAGAGGTAAATATGCATACGTCCCTATTTAATTAATTAAATAAATTTTCATCAACTCTAGATTGTAGCGTATACTGAGCTGAATTTCTTTATAATAAAGCCATCAGTGATACACTACTTATTATTTTCCCGAATGTTTCTACTGGAAGTCAGGATATTTCGTTTCACATAAGAATTTATATTACACGATTCTAATACATATCGGGAGTTATGTGTAACAGTCAATCAAAAAACAGTCATCCGCCACAAGAAAAGCTGACCACAAGAAAATGAAGGAAAGAGGATTGGATAACCAGTCATTTATAAACTTCTTAGTATTATGTAGTAGGAATTCTCATGGTAAACAAACAACGAACAGTCTCTTTGAAGCTAAACTGAACCCGATACTTAGTGTGTAAACGGGTACTGTGGCTTTAACAGACTCCGTTGAACATCTCATTGGCGCGGTACAAATATCCCTTACTTCAAATGTATTCTGTATTTCTGTGTAGCGCACAATATTACCTACCGTATTGACTTTGAAAATGATGGGAATATAATCTGTCAAATGAACAGCATCTTGTGTTTACACAGCCCCATAATCGCAGACTATGCGAACAACACTACAGGTAAATAATGCTAATGCATTGATGATGTGCTTCGTTGGAGTAAGCACTCTCCTTTCAGGCAGTAGTTACGGTGTACAAGTTCATTCCCACTAGTTAATACTGAAAATTGGTATGACGTACAGTAGATCTGATGAAAATCCTAAACAATAATACGAATCCACACTATTCCTTAGAATTCGTTCTCATTGTATCACTCCAACAATAAAGTTGCCATGGATATATCAGTATGCTACTTCATAATTCGTTGGGAATTGCCATGCTTTATGACACCCCAAAGCACTGACCAGAAAAGACTGATACTGATATGTCTAAGACAATTATTACTATATGACTACGTTATACTCGTTCGCATATATATAGACTTGTATAAATCCATAGCTGGAATACCAGACATCCGAATAGCACTGTTTGTTTGATAATAACTGATGTCTCATCAGAAAGGCCCACGACACAGATGATGTGCTCCAACTTGATCGAAATTAGTCGAAATCCCAATCACAAAAATACCGACGACACCCTCTCCTTTACAAAGTCTCCTGCTCACTTCAATAGAAAATTCGTCAACACTGTAGTCATAATCGAACCCATTGCGATTAAACGTCTCGGTAGACAGTTCAAGATATTAAATAACACAGGATAATGATCTACTGATCCATTCATTGGTGAAATCTATGCACATGTTCCGTGAAAACGCATCCTCTTACTGTTCTAGTGAACTTCTGCAGAGAAGAGGAGTTCAGACTTCAATCACACACTTCAGTCAATCACAACACTGCATACAGAGATTATCATTACCAACCATGAGACTTTAACGCAAAACAGCACAATCTAGCACAATTGACATTGTATTTATTATTATTATTATGAGTGTCACATTTGTCACATTTTCAGCCAAAACTCCTGCACACAGTTAGAAGGAAAAATAGTCATCGATTTGCCATTAATAATTATAATGAGTTGACAAAACGGGATGTCCTCTTTGATCCAAGCAGTACAAGTAATCCTGAGGGTAACTGACTTCCGTTATCACTGCTGTAACACATCCTACTATGGATCATGAGTAATATCATGGTAGGATTACTGCACAATAGAAAAGCAAACGTACTTTTTTAAATCAGCGATAGAAACAATACTTTCTATTAAGAGCAGATAACAAGTGGTGCGCATGTTCTGCATAACAAACAGCAGTAGAATTAAACAACTTTGTGAGAAGAAACATTTCAGTAAACGTGTAGATGTTTGTTTACTGTCCATTTCACTTCCTCAATGATGTTATGCGCAGGCAAATACTATATAACTTCAAATGACTGTAGATAATTATCTGTGTCATATGCATACTACTGACACCGAGAAGTGTCTGTATTCAGTATCTGAATTAAACTTCGCATGTAATTCTTTGTTTATATACGTATATATGTACATATATTGAAGAAAGATACCAATTAAGTAGTTTTACGATAAAAGTCATTGCACCTTGTTGTTTTGATTTGTCTTTCTCTGTTTAAGACATTCTGTAGGAGTGTAGCTTTCTTACTCATCATATAAACGTCACTGAAGTGGAAACGCACTTCCTAAACCAGTGGTATGTGATAAAAGCCGTTGTGATAACTTCATTCGCTGTGTGTCGTTATTATTCTGAAAGTAATTCCTTTGAGCAAGGGGATTTGTGTGATTTTGTACATAGTCCACAGGTTGATTGAAACAATGAACAGTAGAACTTGCTCTATGAAGTTGGTCACTTTCAGATAAAAAGGGATCTTCCGTAATCGCAGACTGCTTTCCGTCTAGGAATCCAGCTGAAGAATTACTTGTTAATGTCATCATTGTTTCTCCGGTGAATTTATTAGGCAACAAGTTCTGCATATACTTATGTTGATTATGAGACAGTAACTGACTAGCTTGAGAACGTGTTCTCATTGGAATCGGCCGCTTGACACCACCATTAGAATTCACAACACCACTTATCTGTCCTTTTGAACACTCTCCAGTGAAATATCTGCAAGAAGAACTGGCCGTTTGGTTACAACCGGTATAACCCCCTTCGCCCCCAAGATAAAATGGTATATTCGAGCACTCTGTATTATAAAACATACAGGAGTTATTCGTTGGAAGCTTAACCACTCCAGGTTGACTAGTGAGAATATTTCGGTTGTGAATTGAAGAATACTGTAATGCATTATTTGTAAAAGGATTTATCCGTGAATAAGAGTTGTTAGATGTTGATAGAGTGAAGTAGTTTGACAAAAACTGTGTACAATCTACCATATTCGTTGTATGATAAACATTTGAAGGATGAGCAGTTTCAGCGTTCTGTGCAGCCATCACCATGTTAGTACTTTTCAATTCATCATGTAGGCGGTCAGATCTACTGTTAACTAAATTCACTCCACTGTGTAAATTACCGTAGGCCAGTCTTTCAACCAGCTCATTTAACCACTGTTGGGAAGTAGACAAGGAAATCGACTTGACTGGTGCACGAAAAGAAGATACGATGTTCGAAGATTTCTCCGGACAGAAACGACACTGGACAGACTGTTTGGCTGGATAAATCGAATTGACATTCGGATTCGTACCAGCCACCTGTTGATTAGTGAATTCTAGCCCGGTATATTGAGGGTTGGTTTGGTGATGATTCGCTTGACTGAGTGGAGCCGGATAAGTCATATCTACACCAAGAGGATAAAACTGAGGTGATGGAAATACTACATTTGCATATGGAATGTTTGGGATCGTCGGTGCACTAGTAGGTACCACAAATTTTCTGCTTGATGTTTGATTAGGTGGTAAGATTGTGAAAGTAGGATAGTGTGTTTGAGAGCCATTAGTGGTAGGATTGAATGCACTAGAAGGAGGTAGATGACAATCTGGTGCGTGCTGCTTTCCATTATATGCATACCTTATTCGATTAGGTGGAAAAGGGATTGCAGTTTGAGAACTCGGATTCACATGGTCGACGTAGTTTCCGCAGGCAATCAGAAAATGTCGTATTCTATTCGGAGGGGCTGGTGAGAAGTGGTAGTAACCATATTGTGATGAACTCAAACCTGACGCCATTGTGAAAGAACCGGTTTGACCGGAAGTAGTCAGAGAATAATGAGCATAAGGAAGTCGATATGCGAACGATCGGGATGATGAAGGCTGAATCATTCCGTTATAAATTAATTCTTTGGAATTGACCACTTCATTGCAGCAAACATCACCAACGGAATTGTTTTCATACAATAATTCTGCTCGACTCGGCTTTGCAGACTCTTCAGATTTAGGCGTTGAAGAACGATGAGGTCGAAAGGCTAAACACAAGATGTCCAGTGATGAACTTGGGAGTTCCATATTAGTTTGATTATTAAATGTATCACACAGTGAAACAGTATTGTATACTAGATGACGTTTCGAACACAATTTATTGTTCATAATCATATCAATTTTTGTCACACGACTTCGAGATTTGATTTTTATAGTTTTCTCTGTCTTCTCCTATTTGTTGTATGGGCAGTAGAATTTTCCATATATCTGGGACAGGTGTTGAATCATTCCTATTACATGTATTTGCAGTTGATTCGATAAACAAAGCTTCTGTTATCAATCTCTCCCTATACCCTGTGACATTAGATTTTAAAACTGTCATCCTATTCCATCCTATTGTATGGTTGTGTGTAACTGCATGTAGTGCTATAGCTGAACTACTCTCTAGATTTCTTATCTTATTCGGGTCAACCAATCTAGATTTAGCTAGGTTTTTATGTTCGGCTAGTCTGACTGCCCCTGTTCTACTAGTTTGACCTATGTATTTGACCTCACAATCATTGCAGGGTATTAGATAAACTAAATTGTTTTGTTTTAATGGCTCTACAGTATCCTTTAACCGACAAAGCTTGTTTCTAATTGAGTTTGTGGGTTTGAATGCCACTTTTATTCCTGCCTTGTTAAGAATTCTGCGTAAGGCTTCCGAGGTTCCTTCTTTGTATGGAATTACTGTTGATGATTTACATTCCTTATTGTTGGTGTCGTTATTAATATTATTATTATTACTATTATTATTACCATTATTATTATTGTTATTATTATTATTGTTATCATTATTATTATTATCACTATCTCTGTTATCATTATTTATTTTATTTTTACATTTACTTACATATTTCTTGACTAATTTATCCGGGTAATTATTAAGTTTCAAGGCTTCTTTTATGTGTGTCACTTCCTGTCTTAGATTTTCCTTGGTACTACTTAGTTTTTGTGCTCTGTCATTTAAACATTTCACTAATCCTATTTTTACTGACATAGGATGGGATGATCGGAAATCCAAATATCTGTTTGAATGTGTGGGTTTTCTGTAAACACTAGTGTTTAGCTTCCCATCTTCTTTCCTTTTAACGTTGCAATCTAACATTGGAAGTTCCCCTTCCTGACTTTCCAATTCATAAGTGAATTGAATTGCATCTACCTTCGAGTTGATGTGCTCGAAAAATCTATCTATATCTTGTGTTCTAAGTACAGTGAATGTGTCATCTACATACCTCCACCATACTTTTGGTGTGGGGGTGAACGTTTCAATCGCTATCTTTTCCCACCTATCCATGAATATATCTGCTACCACTGGGGATATTGGTGATCCCATGGCAACTCCCTCAGTTTGTTTGTATATTTTCCCTTGGAATTTAAATACTGTAGAAGTCAGGCAAAGCTGTACTCCCAGCATTATGTCCTCAATTGGCACTTTTGTCCTAAGTTCGAGTTCTTGGTCAGAAATGAGTTCGTTTCTGACCGCCTCTATAGCCATATTTATTGGTATACGTGTATATAAACTGACAATGTCAAAACTAACCATTTTTTCTTCACTATCTAATTTTAAATTATCTAATCTGTGTTTTAGTTCATAAGAATTAGTTAGTCTAGATTTCGAGTGGATTTTTAGGGGATTTAATACCATGGCTAAATATTTAGATAATTCATAGGTAGGTGAATTTCTAAAATCAACTATAGGCCTAATAGGGTATCCTGATTTATGAATTTTAACAACACCATACATCCTACTGGGGTTATTAGTTTTTGGCATTAAATTAAACCACTTAGACTCACCTAGAAACGGCTTCATTCGGCGTATAAGGTCCGCTGTGGATTTCTTAACTTTATTCATAACTGTGTCTATTGATTTATTAATTTCTTCATATGGTCCTGTTTGTATGTGAGTATTTACCTTGTCCAAATAGTCCGATTTGTCTAATACTACTGTTGCGTTCCCTTTGTCTGACTTTGTGATTACTATATCCTTGTTATTCTTGAGGTGTTTTAGGGCTTTTGTCTCTTGTTTTGTCAGGTTAGGTTTTCCACATTTTTGTCGTTTTAATGTAAGTGCACATTGTGCACGTACTTCTTCAGCTGTTGTTTTGTCTATCCCACTTAGTGCTATTTCTATTTTAGGGATGACATCCTCAGGTTTTAGCTTGTCCACCGCTACATTGAAGTTTAGTCCCTTTTCTAATACACTTATTTCCATCGGACTTAATATATGTGATGAGAGATTGATAACCCACTTTGATTTATCGATCGCCGTTGATTTTGGATTGTTGACTTCATTATTCTGAGATGAAGATTTCTCCTCTAACAATTTGTTGAACTTTTTGATTTGACTATTTTTTGACTTTTTGAAAGTGGCTGATTTTGCATTGTTGGAGGATTGTGTTATAAGATCATAATCTACATTGGAAACTATTCCTTTTAGCTTTTGTTTTAATTGCTCAATTTCACATCTGATATGTTGTAATTTTCTAACGATTCTGTGGATCTCTTCTTTGAGGCATAATTTTTGTAGACTTTCTATTCTGCTTCTAACTCTGTCTGTTGGAACTGGAGCTCGTAGACGTAGATATTTAGGAATGATTTCATTTTTTAAGCATCGAATGTTAAAAATACGGTGATTTTCATATCTTGCTTCAGTTTGTGAAAGTCGAGTGAGTTTATTGATAAGTCTTCGTACAGGAAGACCATAAGTCATGTTAATATATGTGTAAAACTTGGGCACTGTGGTATTACGTAATTCCATATTAGTTTGATTATTAAATGTATCACACAGTGAAACAGTATCGTTAGAAAATTACAACATATCAGATGTGAAATTGAGCAATTAAAACAAAAGCTAAAAGGAATAGTTTCCAATGTAGATTATGATCTTATAACACAATCCTCCAACAATGCAAAATCAGCCACTTTCAAAAAGTCAAAAAATAGTCAAATCAAAAAGTTCAACAAATTGTTAGAGGAGAAATCTTCATCTCAGAATAATGAAGTCAACAATCCAAAATCAACGGCGATCGATAAATCAAAGTGGGTTATCAATCTCTCATTACATATATTAAGTCCGATGGAAATAAGTGTATTAGAAAAGGGACTAAACTTCAATGTAGCGGTGGACAAGCTAAAACCTGAGGATGTCATCCCTAAAATAGAAATAGCACTAAGTGGGATAGACAAAACAACAGCTGAAGAAGTACGTGCACAATGTGCACTTACATTAAAACGACAAAAATGTGGAAAACCTAACCTGACAAAACAAGAGACAAAAGCCCTAAAACACCTCAAGAATAACAAGGATATAGTAATCACAAAGTCAGACAAAGGGAACGCAACAGTAGTATTAGACAAATCGGACTATTTGGACAAGGTAAATACTCACATACAAACAGGACCATATGAAGAAATTAATAAATCAATAGACACAGTTATGAATAAAGTTAAGAAATCCACAGCGGACCTTATACGCCGAATGAAGCCGTTTCTAGGTGAGTCTAAGTGGTTTAATTTAATGCCAAAAACTAATAACCCCAGTAGGATGTATGGTGTTGTTAAAATTCATAAATCAGGATACCCTATTAGGCCTATAGTTGATTTTAGAAATTCACCTACCTATGAATTATCTAAATATTTAGCCATGGTATTAAATCCCCTAAAAATCCACTCGAAATCTAGACTAACTAATTCTTATGAACTAAAACACAGATTAGATAATTTAAAATTAGATAGTGAAGAAAAAATGGTTAGTTTTGACATTGTCAGTTTATATACACGTATACCAATAAATATGGCTATAGAGGCGGTCAGAAACGAACTCATTTCTGACCAAGAACTCGAACTTAGGACAAAAGTGCCAATTGAGGACATAATGCTGGGAGTACAGCTTTGCCTGACTTCTACAGTATTTAAATTCCAAGGGAAAATATACAAACAAACTGAGGGAGTTGCCATGGGATCACCAATATCCCCAGTGGTAGCAGATATATTCATGGATAGGTGGGAAAAGATAGCGATTGAAACGTTCACCCCCACACCAAAAGTATGGTGGAGGTATGTAGATGACACATTCACTGTACTTAGAACACAAGATATAGATAGATTTTTCGAGCACATCAACTCGAAGGTAGATGCAATTCAATTCACTTATGAATTGGAAAGTCAGGAAGGGGAACTTCCAATGTTAGATTGCAACGTTAAAAGGAAAGAAGATGGGAAGCTAAACACTAGTGTTTACAGAAAACCCACACATTCAAACAGATATTTGGATTTCCGATCATCCCATCCTATGTCAGTAAAAATAGGATTAGTGAAATGTTTAAATGACAGAGCACAAAAACTAAGTAGTACCAAGGAAAATCTAAGACAGGAAGTGACACACATAAAAGAAGCCTTGAAACTTAATAATTACCCGGATAAATTAGTCAAGAAATATGTAAGTAAATGTAAAAATAAAATAAATAATGATAACAGAGATAGTGATAATAATAATAATGATAACAATAATAATAATAACAATAATAATAATGGTAATAATAATAGTAATAATAATAATATTAATAACGACACCAACAATAAGGAATGTAAATCATCAACAGTAATTCCATACAAAGAAGGAACCTCGGAAGCCTTACGCAGAATTCTTAACAAGGCAGGAATAAAAGTGGCATTCAAACCCACAAACTCAATTAGAAACAAGCTTTGTCGGTTAAAGGATACTGTAGAGCCATTAAAACAAAACAATTTAGTTTATCTAATACCCTGCAATGATTGTGAGGTCAAATACATAGGTCAAACTAGTAGAACAGGGGCAGTCAGACTAGCCGAACATAAAAACCTAGCTAAATCTAGATTGGTTGACCCGAATAAGATAAGAAATCTAGAGAGTAGTTCAGCTATAGCACTACATGCAGTTACACACAACCATACAATAGGATGGAATAGGATGACAGTTTTAAAATCTAATGTCACAGGGTATAGGGAGAGATTGATAACAGAAGCTTTGTTTATCGAATCAACTGCAAATACATGTAATAGGAATGATTCAACACCTGTCCCAGATATATGGAAAATTCTACTGCCCATACAACAAATAGGAGAAGACAGAGAAAACTATAAAAATCAAATCTCGAAGTCGTGTGACAAAAATTGATATGATTATGAACAATAAATTGTGTTCGAAACGTCATCTAGTATACAATACTGTTTCACTGTGTGATACATTTAATAATCAAACTAATATGGAATTACGTAATACCACAGTGCCCAAGTTTTACACATATATTAACGTGAACTTGGGAGTTTTCCACTGAAAATGGATTCATGGTTGAACAAATATTTGAGCATTTCCAGCTCGTTTTCGTGTGAAGAAAGCTTAAATTTCACCTTTGTATTGTATGCGACTCGGTATGATAATCTTCCTGAAAGATGAAAGAGAAAACTCCACGAGTTACTGTCGTCGAAAGCCCTCATAATTCTGCATAAAAATATGTAATTCATTGAAAGTCTCTGCATTCACATTTACCCTAAATTCCAAAAATGGTCTTAAACATCGTTTGTTCTCGTCAGAACAACAGTAACTAAGCCATCGATTGGCTCCACAAAGCAAATGAAGTGCGTTTAAGCTTGACAAACTATTCAACCAGACTCTTTCTATGACTTCAAACCATGTGTGCTTTGTTAGGGTACACGTGAACCAGATCAAAAGAAGCAGATACTGTTGAATTCAAACTTCGCTTGGCTTTGTTTGTCAGGTTCAGTGCTACACTTCTCTCCAAATAAGAAGAATAAAATGTACCATCAATGGTTTATTCATCCTCGTTTCTCGCTAACAATAACACTGCCAATGATAATAACTATCGTATTGTCCACCATTCTATATGCTGCTTCTGTGACAGGTATAGCTTCATTAAGTGAGTCAGCCTACGCCTCGCCATCCAAGTGGAACTCGGAGACAGTTGAGTGTGGCACTGACAACCCTATCCCATGAAACAACACCATTCTCGCCACTGGCAGTTGAAGGCCATTGGTAAGCAACTCGACCGGTGCCTCTTCTTTACACGAAGGCGAAAGTATACATAGTCACATGGAATGCCCATTTCACGTTCGTGGTTGGCAAAGCTGTTTAGATTGTACAAGGAAGAGAAAAGGTGCCTTACAGACGTGTTAGTGGTCTATGACAGCAGATGGAATTCGTGTATGTGGACTGTCCAAATCGTTGACTGGAAAGATAGTAATCTACTCCGGTCATCCAGACGACAACCACTGTCATACTGACGGCATGACTATCACCACGTCACCAATAGCACACCACACTACCATGCAGTGGAAATCAATCTCCTTCAGGATCATGACAGCAAGATGCCGCTCTAAATGTCAGGATAATCACAATTCTACAATGATACTCGCCTACAAACAACGCAGACCCAGTGAAGGAGAAGAAAAAGCAGTAGAAAGAATCTTACACACAAACAGCTGCAAGCGGGAATGCACAAAGCCACTATCAGAAATGGCGACATCAAAATCCTAGTGGGTGATTTGAACGCCAAACTGGGAGGAAACAACACAAGAGAACGACACATCATGGGTCTACAAGTACCTGGTGAAATGAATGAGAACGAGGAGCTGTTTGCAAACACCTGTGACTTCAACAAATCGGTCATCAGAGGAAGTGTGTACAAGCACAAGGATATCCACAATACAAACTGAGTTTACCTACGTGGACGTACTAAAGCTCAGATGAATATCATCTCCATCTACTGGACACAAGATAGAGAAGGGGAGCAGGTGTAGGCTCAGATCCCTCACTGTCTTGTACAAGAAACCTTTCAGATCACTTTTGATGCCTTCATAGAAGCTATCGACAAGCCAGAGTCCAAGTCCAACACACACAAACTGAAGAGTGAAGTCATGCAGAATACCTTCACTTCAGGGAGCATCACAGATACTTAGCAATGTCACGAGGATACCTGGGTGGAACAACAGTGGGACTTTCTGAAACCGAAGTGAAAGAAAACCTGCATAGATATCTTGAACAAGAAGAAGAATAAGTAAGACACCAAATGGCTTATCCTGGATATCTAGAAGGTGGAAGAGGAGAGAAAGATGGTGAGGCAGAAAATAGAACACTGCAGTAAAAGGGCTCTCGACACCAGTATCAGGACATCGGATGAACACAGAAACGATGGATATTATAGAGACATCCATTCAAGTTTAACAGACACAAATCACTAGCGAGAGAGGGTGACTGAAGCGAATTGTCCTCCTAATCGCCTGAGCTGCATCGTTTCAAATACAGGTGACATAGATAAGGATGTCGAAGCCAGTCAGTCATTACACTGAAATAAATGTAAACAACTGGGACTATGAATAATGTCTACAAAAATTACTGCAAACATACAGACTCACCTATAAAGTCCTCGCATAGACACACTGTGCACTGAAGACCACGACCTCTCATTGAGACCACAAAATCCATCGCTTTTAACAAGGTTACCAACGATCGGTAATTATAATTCTCTGGTTTCAACGGAACACCAAAATGTTTTCGGTACATGGTACACAAATGTACAAGTAAGATCTTCCCATTATTGTGACTTAATAGCTCTTTCAAGTCGCCGGCTAGTCTGATCAGTGGACGAAGAGATATAAAGTGATTCAATAGTATTACCGATAGAATTTCCGTACTGTGGTCACCATTACACACATTCTGAAACGAATAGCTTTGAAGTTGAGTATGTCTATAATGGGGAGGATTTATGACGTCATGTGGAATTGCTTCATTCGATGAGCCAAATGACATTGCGCCACGTGGATTGGGCAAATCCTTTCGAAGCTGTTCAACAAAAACCGGAAAACGAATAATACCATAAAGTGAAAGTAGAAGTTAGAAATCGCTTACGAAACAAAGAGTTCGAACTAAAACCGAAGTGGATAAAATATGCATCTCTAACAGAATATCCACAATCAAATTTAAAATGCTTAAAGATCACGGGTTTCAAAGAAGGAAAGCATGAACACATTTGCAAGATGATACAAGCACATTTCATCTCATCGGTTATTTTCGAATGCCTACATTCTAAACAGTATCAAAGTATAAGTTACATAATTACTGAATCCATCTTTTTCATAACGACTTCAGGTTATGCATAGAAATTTTGTGTAATATAATTCTGAAATGATGCAAGTAGACAAATTATTCAGTGTTAAAACGTCAACTGTTTATTGTATTGTATTGTTAGACAAGAGTGGGAGCAGAGTTCAGATTTTGTCAAGAAACAGAATCGATTCGACCCAGTGAACAAGGTCGAAGAGCAGAGTTGATGTTATAAATAATATGAAGGAAGCTAAAGGCAAAATTATGACAGACACACACACACGCAGGCAAATATAAGCAAATTTGATAAATTAGTAGTGAGTTGAACTCACTGAGTGAAAATCAAAATTAAGTGAAATGTTACCCAACAGAATTCAGAATGTAAGAAAGAACACACACACACACTATCTTTCTGTATACAAAGTTTGGTTTGAAATCTATTCATTGAAAACTCTTTTCAAATCAATTCAACTCCTGTTCTAAAGTAACTTTTGTCATTGTTTCGCAGTGCTAGCCTGTGCTGGAGAGATGGTCACAACAATGGTTAGAGCCAGTTCGAAAATGTCAGCAGTTCATGCTTTTAGGGATTCTTCCCAAATTTTACAAGAACTAGGTTAACTGAATATTTCAGACAAACGCCTCATTTCATACGCCAATAGTTGATTGTTTACATATTCTGGTCTAAAAACAACAGTATTATCACTGTGTTTGCACGTCTTTCAATGCTATCGTGTACTCTCTAGTAAAGTAATTTCACCTCTCTCAGATTACAAAACACATGTAAATCAATCTCAGTGTAACTAATGCTCAGATGGGAATAAGTAGTGCATATCTCACGCATACATTTTTACATACTCTAATCCTAACCGTGGAACCTGAGGAAGATGTTACGTGTACGGTTCACTGTTCACTAATTACCATCATCAAGCTATACATCTATAGAATAGTTTTTAACGCAGTTATCTTCAAAGGAGCAACCACATAAACGGACTGTTTCACGTATCTCCTTAATGCATTTATGATCACCTTTGCATAATGGAAAATAAAGGAAAACTGCTTCTACCCCGATTTCCCACCCCTCTATCGCAGCTAACTTTCCTCAGGAGACTGACAGTCGGTGTATCCAAATTCAGTTATTTCGTGACATCGCTTCCACACTTAGATGTGGTTAACCAGGTCAAATTAGATACGTACTTCTTCTACAAGAATTCTAATACTAACTTCACAAGACAGTGAGAAATCAACTGACATAACCACATAAACCAATCAGTCTAGTGGAGTTAAAATTTGCCTTACCTCCACAATACTTTCCAATTCTTCAAATATTACATCCAACATAGGTTCATTTCTAAACTGATATTGGAACAGTACGTAAAACGACAGAAGAGACGTAGCTCCTAGCTGATATTGTTGCAATATAAAAATAACCCTGTGTGCTAGATGTTTGATCACTGTTCGATCAACTAAGCACACATATTCAATAGCATTGTAATTCGAAGTGGGGTAATCAATGGCTGCAGTATTTCCCACTTTCGTATCTGCTACTTGACCACTACCTTGATTCCGTCCGGTCTGTTGCTCGACACCTCCAATATTTTCAGTTAGTGTATCTTCTGATGACAGTTTCGATGTATTCTGTATTTCTTGTGAATGGTTTACCTCAGTATAGAATAGATGTGGAAACTTGGATAATAACTCTTTCAATGAGAACACGTTGAAATCCTCCAAACACAAAGCATAACCGTGATGTCTTGCATACACATCTGTCAGATCATTGATAGGTATTCTTCTGTCTGGTGACGCTTCCAGAAGGACCAGAAGTTTTTCCGCGAAAATTTGCAAGTGTTTTTCAGGCAGAAGGCTGATATATTTTTCTTTCCTTTCTTCCTTAATCTGTCAAAGTAAGCATACACTTTAAATATCTTGAAAGTATTAAGAGACGATACTTCGTTTCAATTTGAAGGCATGTATGTATGTATATGCAGTACGTGGGAAAAATACACTAGCCCACGGAATAACTCTCCCCTTACTATA